TACCCTGGGGCAATGCAGTCTTAGTCTGCTCTCTTTTTTTGCTTTCTTCTTTTTTTTTTTTCTCCTATGGAACTAATGCTTCCAAAAGTGAGTGCCCAAGAGCACTTACAAGAACCAGGGTGCTGCTCTGAAAGCTCCCTTTCCCCAATCCGTGGCCCTGCAATGCTTCCCAGACCTGTTCTGCAGCATCCGTTGCTCATCCAGTCCTAAATCATGAGCATCCTGCTTGCCTTACTGTGGTGTAATTATTGTGCTTGCAATATACCCATCAAACATTGCCCCACATACTGTCCATCCCCCAGGCTGGATGACACCCATCTGCAATCTGATCTCCCTGTGAGATACAATGCTCTGCTCCACCAGAACTGAGCAGGCTCCCCAACGTACCCTGCCAAAAGACCTTGCTCTGCATCATTGCTGATCTTGCAGTACCAGGATAGAGATCTCCCTCTTCAGCAGACCAAGAGCTCTGGCTGGATCTTCCTCCTACCCTGCAAATCCCCCCTCCAAGGCTGTTCTAGATTCCCACCACAATCCTGGCCAAACTCCTTAGACCTGCTTTACAATTACCCCCTGCTCTTTCAGTCCCAGACCATCTACTTGCTCAGCCCACAAAAACTGGACTTTGTGGTCCCTACATGTCTCATCCTGCCACCGTCCCACATGTCTCCAACTTGGTGTGCTACTCTAGGGCTTGGGGGATTGTGGCTGAGAAGTATGAGGGGACTGTCCAGGACTCCCCAGGCTGGAAGGGTTTATCACCTGCACTCCAAGGACTGATGTACCTGCAAGCCCTTCAATGCCAGCCTCTTCACTTCACCTGACCTGGTGCTTGACTCTCTTGTGCTGCCCCCACTGTGCCAGGACAGTTTTCCAGAGGAGTTGCTCCCAGATTTTTCAATCACCTCCACATGGCTCCAACTTTCCCCCTTTCTCCCATGTGTCCCCCCATTCAGCCCAGCTCCCCAGATGAGCATGTCACACTCATTGCCACAGCACCACCCATGAGAGCCGACCTGCTCATCGGCCTAACGGATTTCCAAAGGGATGGGGGAGAGGGGAGGAGAGTGAGTGGCTCATGCTTCTCAGCCACTCAGCTCAGCCTAGAGCTAACGAGGCATCTCAAAATTAAAAAGTGAACTGCAATCCCCAGCAGGCCTGTCCTCCTTTTGGCATTAGTCGGAGTTCTCTTTCTCTCTCAAAAAAAAGAGGACTGGGGAGCCATGAGTTGCATTTGGAGCTGTTAAAACACCACATCCCAGGGATGCTGGAACAAGGAGGTCAGCCTGGGGTTGCTGTGCCGTGGAAGCACTGGCTCTCTTAGAAAGGTTGAGGTGCAAGATCTGCCTTACCATGGCAAGGAACACAAACGGTATATGGGAACAGGCTCTTCCAGTCCTTCTATATCTAAATATCCCAGTTCCCTCCTGCTTTGTGGGCAGCAACGGTGGGTGCATGGAGGAGGCACTGCAGGATGCACAGGTGGTTCCCTGCCCGTAGGCCTGAGCCAGTGGAGACAGTGCAGGGGTGATCGCCACTAGGCACTGGTGTGGGGGGAGGACGTCAAAAAGGAAAGAACACTCCTGTAGGAGGAAGATATAGGGAAAGCAAGCAGGCAAAGACCCGAGAAGGGAGGAAGGGAGGGCAGCCTGGTTTATCACTTTTGTGAGTTGCATTTCTCATGTGGCAGTGTGGGCGGTGGGGCACAAGGGCAGTGCCGGGGACAGGGGCGCTGCCGGAGCAGCATCTCAGCGCGGTGGCTGCGGCCCCTACCTGCACCTCTGGGGTGCCCAGCACCAGCTGCTCTGACCTTCCTGCCCTCAATGCCCTCATCTTTGATCTGCAGAGGGCCGAGGGTTCTGGCTTGTAGAGGTGCTCACTGGAGCAGCTCAGCCTGACTCACAGGCAACTCCTCCTGCAGGCAGCTGGCTGTCCAGCCAGACCACTCGGTCACTGCTGGACCAGCCCTGAGACAGCACCTCTGGGGTGCCCAGCACCAGCTGCTCTGACCTTCCTGCCCTCAATGCCCTCATCTTTGATCTGCAGAGGGCCGAGGGTTCTGGCTTGTAGAGGTGCTCACTGGAGCAGCTCAGCCTGACTCACAGGCAACTCCTCCTGCAGGCAGCTGGCTGTCCAGCCAGACCACTCGGTCACTGCTGGACCAGCCCTGAGACAGCCCCATGCCATTTCTCTGGGACACACAGTTCCAAGCAGGACCTGTCACCCCTCTGAGATGTTGTCTTGGCCATCCACAGCTCACCCTGACTCGTCTTCCTGGGGCAAGAGCACAACTGGGTGAAGAGCAATCACCTCCCCCAACAGAGATGGCTTACACCCATCTTGCCCAGCTGGAAGGAAGCTGAGGGGTGGCAGGACAGTCCAGGTGGAGCATGAGGGGGATTGCAAGGCAGTGTCCTGGAGAACAACCCAGTTTTCAGGGTGCTGGGACTGGGGTTCAGTCCAGTCCCACAAGTCCTTAAGAAATAGCAGATCTGCATACACACAGGTTGCAGGGCTTTGCCCAAAGTGTGCCTTTTCCAGTGGCACACAATTTATTGGAGGGGAACTTTGATGTCTCCACAGCAGGGCTGTGGATGAACCAGAAGCCACAAAGGGTTAGACAGATCCTGGTGTGATCCTACTGGATTTCTCCTAGCAATGGATTTGGCCAAAAATCTCAGAGAACTAGTGAGCTCTGGGGACGACAGTGGAGCGAGGAAACTTTCACTCCTTTCCCCTGGGCTTGTAATGCTAATGATCTCCAGCTTTCAGGCTCACCTCTCAGTCCACCCTTCCCTCAACTGTAAATGTTGCAGGGGAATTTTTGTCCAAATAAGCTTGTCCTCGGGGGAGGGGGCCAGACATGCTGAGATTTAGGGCATCCCTCCACACTGAGCACCAAAGGCACGGTCACTGATGCTGCCAGCCAGGACTTTGCACTCGCGAGCAAACGGAAGGACAAGAAAGGGTGAAAGGCAACAGTGAGATGAGTGCAGGAAAGAGGGTTACCATTGTCTTTCTATTTCTCTGCTTGAATGAGGGAAAAAGCAGTTTGTACTTTGGGAATTCAGAGTAAAATCAAATAAAATGCAATGGTTGCCCAAACCCATCCATTTTACAGTCAGGAAGGACGCAGTGCCTGCCGAGTCCAACCCATGCACCGCACAGACCTGGCAGGGTCAGCAGCACTGCCTGCACTGAGCCCCGTACTGCCTTGCTCAGGAAAGGATGGTCCATGTCCTGGGCAGGGAGGGGTGCTGGATGCCCTGGGGACCTGGCATCAGAGCACACAGGCTGTGATATGCACCTGGGCTGCTGGACCTCCAGCTCCATGGCTCCCCATTGCACCCCTCTGCTCTGTTCCTCCACGGAGCCAGATCACCTACTGTTTTACTGTATCATAATCATCTCAGTGGTTTACAAGATGGTTTTCTTGCAGTTTTTATGTCATCTCTGCAGTTCTCCCCCTCATAAAATGTGACTGCACCAATTCCTGTGATTGGGGCTGGTCAGCTAATAGGGATATTTCATGTTTCCCAGACAGAGCCTTTAAATCAATCCAGCCATATCCCATGTTCAAAGGAGAGAAGGGAAAGGGGGAACCCCCGTTCCCTTTCAGAGCACTGCAAGCCCCTCCAAAGTGGTTCCCCACTGCACTCAGGTGACCTCCTAGATGCCTCTGAGCACTACAGAGGGATGAGCATTTCCCACAGCCCTCCCTGAGGCCAGGGTCCAGCAGCACTTGGTGCTGCCGTCTGAAAGCCCCTGCTCCACCCTGGGGTAGAGCGTGGTGATGAGGGCGGTGGGGACTGTGAGGGAAGGCAGTCTTTGCAAAATGGAAAGGGGTGGTGAGTGGGTGGGGGCAGGTTTGGGTGAAGTGCAGGGAAACCAGAGGTTTCAGAGAGAGACAGGTTCGTTCATGGGGTCATGGGACAGTGGAATACAGTGGGGTGACTTCAAAACCTGATGAAATCAGTGGGGATATTCTTCCACACCCAGTTTCCAGGAACTTAGGATCAGATCCTTTGGGAGAAAACTCCTCCCTTGTATCACTATGGAATTGGCCCTGGCATCTCTTCCCCTCGAGAGCACAAGCATGAATCTGCTTCCTGGTAGACATTTGGAGAAGGACATCTCAATGTGGTTCCTGTCCTCCTGCAGGCTGAACATCCCCCAATCCCACACATCTCCTCGTGAGAAGCAAATAGTATTGCCCAGAAAAGACTGAAAAGAGCCAAGCTCAGAAGGCTGAAGCCACAAGTCCTCCAAATACCCCTCCCTGTGCAGTCAGCTGTGGTTCTCCACTGCCTGCTTCTCTCCAACAAATGGATCTCAATTGTATCCTGGAGTACGATGGTACCTAAAGATTATTTCATATTTCATCTCCACCAGGACAACAAAGAGAAGGCCCTTCCCATTCTCCTTTTTGCTCACAGGACACGAGAGGAATTGCAGATCCTTGCATCTCCTACTGAACAGCAGCCAGGCCATCAGCTCCCCAGGGAATATTTTATCCCTTATTGTTGCTGAGGGGGCAGCCTGGCAGCCCAACCAACAGCCTGCCAACCCCAACCCTCTGTAGGGA